TCAAAGAGTTTGTGTAAAGATATACAGGTAGTCCTTGACTTACAACAGCAATTGGGACCAGAATTTCTATTGCTAAGCAATGTAGTCATAAAATGCAACTGCACTGCTTAATGATGGCAATCCCTGCAATCCCAGTTGCCATTCTTAACCAAATCCCATAGTTGTTAGCCAAGGCAACTTCCTGCCGGTTTCCCACAACCAAGTCAGTGGGGAAGCCAACAGGAAGTTGCAAGTCTCAGGCGGCTCGCAAGCAGGCTGGCAGGGAGGTAAATGGCTGCTGCCAGATGGGGGCGGGCACAAGGGGGAGTACAAGGGTCTGGGGGGGCTTGGGGAGGGTTCGTGAAGGTGGGAGGCTCAGGGAGGGTGCGTGAGGGTTAGGGAGGACACACAGGTGGCTGACGTGGTGCAAGCACAGAGGGGCTAGGGGAGGGTGTGCAGATGGGGGAGACTTACCCCAGTGACTTGCAACCTTCCCTGCCAGCTTCCCCATTGACTTTCTGGGGAAACTGGCAGGGAAGGTAGCAAATGGCAATCACATGATCACGGGGTGTTGCAACCAACCAGTGTTGTAAGTGCGACTGGTTGCTAAGCGGCCAGATCATGATCATGTGACTGTGGGGATGCTGGGATGGCTGGAACTCCAAGGACCAATCATAACCACCATTTGTTCAGCGCTGTCATAGCTTTGAATGGACGCTGAACAAATGGTCGTAAATTGAGGGTCACCTGCATATGGAAAGAATGACATAAATGACAACTAGTGGCATAAATAAATAAGTTTTCCATAAGGTCATGCATGCAGAATATAGGACGATATATAGCACACAATCTTAGAATATTAAGCATATTTTTGTTCCTCTGGTTGTGATATTCTACATGGTTCTAAACCTAATACAGCAATCTGTTTTATGTAGTAACTTTTCCTGTAACTGATATACAGAATTCCATACCACAAGATGCAGAAATAGACATTAACTTAGACTAATTAAAAAAGGATTAGGCAAATTCAAAGGAATATGTCTGCCAATACGTACCTATTTGCAAATACTCCTCAGTAAAACCTGACCCTGCATACACAGAGGCAGCATATCTTCATATCACAGGTGCTAAAAGTTAAACGGCAAAGAAGGATTATCGCCTTGATAAAAGGTGCCATACAGCCTTGTGTCTTGTTTAGGGCATTCCCCAAAACATCTGCTTGCTACTGCAAGAAACAGCATGCTGAACTATCAAAACCTTTTGCCTGATCCAACAAGGCTCAAGTTTATATTCCTGGAAAAATGGGCCTTCAGTATTCAGTCTGTCTTTCCTTAATTGGCTTGCAGTCACATATATGATACCTGTCCACCTCCAACTAGGCATTTGTTATTCAGCCTTCTTTTGCGAACTCAGTCCCTGAAAATGGTATCTATTGGCCATAGAAACGGAAGTATCAGATTTCACTTGCTCAAAATATTTATGTCAAAGAAAATATACCCTTCAAAATTCTGGAGTACAGAACTTACAATAAAAATGGTAGAGATAGTTTACTGTCTACTAAGAAATAAAAAAATCATGCTATGTTTAATTTTAAGTCCTCCTCTCAAAGACCAATGTTTTGCAAATGTTTACAAATAATCTAGCTGTTCTCTTAAAAGAGCTAATAATGTTGACAATATAAACATAATATTAGATAATGTATAGTTAAACCTAATCTGCATATTGTCAAAACTATGCAAAATCTCATCCTTTCAACCAGAAGAGAATCCTTTAGGTCTAAATATATATTACTGGCTCTCCCCCAACAGACATCAACTACAGTTCTATATAAAGTATCTGATCCTTTAACAGTCCAGGACTGCAAAACTCCAGAAAACAATTTATGAGATTCATTAAAAAAAGTGGCATTAGCAGCAATTTCCAATAAGATTAGAATTTAATTCATTCACATTCAATTCACTCCAGCTATTTTCTGCTCAGTATGTAAAATTCTGATACATTTCCAGATCTTAGACTAATAAATAGATTAGTACTTGTATTAATAAGTAGATTACTTACACCAATCTGAAATTTTCAATCAGAAACCCACAGCTTTCTGTCATTCCCAATTATAATCACCAAAACTTCCAAATACCACTTTTCAAGCTCATTCAAATATGTTTTTTAAAACTGAATCATCAAGCAGCCAAAAGAGGATTTTCTGGAGCAATTCTGTGTCAAATCATGGAGAAGCTTTTTAAAAAAAAATTAAGGAGTAAGTAAAGCTTAGTGGAATATACAATTCACTTCAGTTTAGAAGAACTAGACATTAAAAAATTGAACATACCAGAAGTAAAACCATAAAACCTAAAATTCTTGCGAAAAATATTTTCAAATTCAGAGATCAATCTCTCTTCTGACAAAGAATCCTGTATTATTAAAAAAAAAAAAAAAGGCTTACTTATCACCAACTTTTTCTCACACTGAAAACAACAATGCTGCATCCTGAACTCATGTGGAACTCTGAGTATAAGCTGAAGTCTCACACGCATTTGGAAAAAGCATCTCTCATTCTCTAGGAACAAAGCAATGCTATTGATCAGGGGTTTTTTCCTGCTTTTTTGTTCTACATGTTTACTTGTTTGCACTAGCTATTTAAAGGCAAATCAGGCAATTCAGACATGGAGTGCAATGATGTGGATAAGAATTATATTAATTTCACTCTATTGCTTTTGATAAGATTAATGCATAGCAGCAGACAGAGGAAGATAATGGCGATATTTCACATTTGAAGGTTCGTTTTGCAAGTGCAGGGTGATGAAACCTATCCTTTCCTTCCAATGCTCTGTCATTCTTTGAAAGAGAAGAGGTAAATGTAAGTCCCAAGTCCCATTAAAAAATGAAATAAATTATCCACCACAAGCAAATTCTTTTGAAGTTGGGCATTAGGTAATGAGGTATAATATTAAAGAGTTTTACTTCACTTCCCCTTTGAGTCACAGTTGAAATCAGTTTAACACAGGTGAAAATGTCCAGATGCACTGCATAAAAAAATAGGTTACCAACACATCTACACTACATAATCCAGAGAATAATCCTTTGGCTGAAATGGCAATATAGCCAATGCCTAATGTCTCCAACAATAATGTCCAGAAGCTCATTACCAGACTTGCCTTTAAAGTTACAGCACCGAATACAAAAAGTTCAGTATAAGCAAATGTTTCATTGCTGAAGAAACAGTTAAGTATCACCACAGGTTTGTTTTTCAATTCTGTCCAATGCAAACACTTTTATTTGCCGCTTTCTTTCAAACACTACTAGCATCCATAAAAATGAATACTTTCCATTTTGCTACACAAAACATAATACATCTGAAACCAATTTAAGCACGAAACAAGCCTTGCAAATATTATGCCCCATCAGCTCATACATATTTGTATAAATAACACATAACTCAGAATAAAAAAAGAACAAATCTAAATGTCAAGATAGAATATGGGGGAAGAGTAAAATCTCAAGATAGAATCCAGGAGTGCAACAGAGCGTTCTTTCAGCTCCAGCCCATCAATACCATGGGTTTCCACATAAATGGTCAAATAAAGTTCGATTCTTTCCTAAAGTGGCCCACTGCTCATTCTAGGAATCATATACTATCACTCGGCAGGGACAGAAGAACAATTGTCAATAGATGCAAAGTCCTAACATTTGGCATGATTTGGATTATACAAATCGTAGCAACCAGCATATATTCAATTAAAATGTATACTCTGAATGCTTTTTTTCCTGCAAGATTTCTAACTGTTTACAGGGTATCAGGATCTTCAGGAACATAAGAAAACCCAAACTTCCTTCCAGCTTCCCCAGTAATAGTGGAAACTATATATTTACAGGGATTTCTTATTTATGCTACAAATGTACTCTCTGAATAAAGTCACAAAGCTCAGGGCACTCTGGTAGCTCTTATATTTTGTGAAGCCACAGATCAAGATAATCTTTTGCATGTACACATACGGGCACCTTCCCTCACACAAACAAAATATTGAACCCTGGTCTCATTTGATACCATGGTTGCATTCAGAGGTAATACTGAACTATAGTTTAGTACAGTTATTGTAAGAACCTTCAATAAGCCTTGGTCTTGCAAATTCCAACTTCCACACTTCCTTTCAGTTAACCAGTTTAGAATATTATTTGAACATTAATCTGCAGTTAACCATAATTATGGTCTGTTGAAATAAACCACCTTCACAAGCTGTGATGTTTGTTTGCTTCAATAAATTATATCTAAGGTTCACATTTGTCTGGGTCCAGCGATCAAAATAAACTGTGTTTGCTATAAAAGGAAGTAAAAGTTTCCAAATTCCTCATGGTGTATTGAAAGAAGGGACTGGGAAGACTGTTGGCTCAAGACTCTTACAGGCTTGTTCTCGTAATGTAGCCTTCTGTATGAACAAGCTTAATAGACAACTAAAAACTACAAACCCCAGTTCAAGATGAAGTATGGGCAAGAATATTGGCTCCTTCGCATGCAAGTAAAAATGATGTTTTTCTATGGCTGTAACTAAAAGCACATTTCACAAGCTTTTTTCTTTTTCTTTTAAAATGAAGCCTAGACTAAGATGCAAGAAATGCTCAATGATTCTGGCCAGGCTAAATAAAGAAGAGTCTACCAACAAGCAGGTAATGACTGATGACACAATCCTGGATTAGTTGGCCACTCCTCTGTTCACAGTATCAATCCAAAAAGAACTCACAGCTCTATAAATGCCACATTCAACAATCCACTACAACTCTTTGCCCCCTTTAACGTATGTGGATTTTTGTTGCATTCTGCTTTGGAGGAAACTCTTATATAGAAATGCTACACTGGCATCAATTCAGCAAAGAAATATTCCCATTATAATTATATATATATCATACTTGTAGATAAATAAATGTATGCCTTACAAGTTTGGTAACATTTTTAAAATTCTATTCTTAAATGCTTAAAAACTTTGTTATAAACTAACTAGAAATATTTTCCAATGCTCTTTAATGTAAATTGTCTCTTTTTGGTAGATTTGAAAATTATGATTAAAGCAGCATAGATATAGATATATATATTCACATCTATTATCCTCCCTACTTCATTCAGAATGAAAGTGTGTGTGCATGTGTGTTTGGGAGAATCTTGTCAAACCTTTAAACATGTATGAGTTGACCTTTTCAATGAGTTTTGTTTTTTGCCATGATCACAAAGAAAAATCACTGGTTGCTTTATCATGAATTGGGGAATGGAATGAATTCCTCAGTTAACATAAAAAAGAAATATGTGTATTGGGAGGAAGGGGGAGAGCATCAAACAATTTTCATTCTTCCTGCCAACATAAATAGTTTCATTTTTAGAAGCAAGAAACATGTGGAATAAGAAGGCAAGATTGGCCGAATATTAATACTGCATAAATCTAAGCATGTTTACCAACAGCCTATTTCTTCCTTTACCATTATCATTCCTCTCTCCACCCATTTCATGCCTCCACCATATCTCAGCTTCCTCCTATAATTTTTGCTTCGGTCATTTTAGCTCCATATAATCTATAATATTAGCATTATGCCAACTCTTTACTTTTATTCTACATCATTGCTACTAAATACCAATGCATAACTTATTTTGCAAATCTTAGACACTTTTTTGAAATATTTGCTGTCCTGCACATGTACCCTTTCAGTTACAAACAGAATATTAAGGAACATGAAATGCATATTTCCTGGATTGGGGGGGGGGAAGAGAGAGAGAGAGCTCCCCAATTTCATATGTGAAATATTATAGAGGTGTAAAGGAAGAGTTTTCATTGCTTACAGGAAATGGGAGCTTTGATCCTACTGAATTGTAGGAGCCTTTTTTTTTTTGCATGTTTTTCATATAAAAATACCAAACAGGGAGACACAGACAAACCATGATTTCTTCCCCCACTGAGATCCATCTATTTTGATATACAAATATTGCTGTTTCATTAGATCAAGTGCACGGGAGGCAAAGGATGACCTTTGGAGAAAAGTCACTGTTTTAAAAATTCATCATAACTAGAAATCTACTTTTCAGTTTTTGCAGCACACATTGAATAAGCAAGAATTGTGACGTGTTCTGCACTACCCATATTTCACAACTGAAAATATCACTCAAACCGGCAGAGCCTCACAGTCACTGCCTTCTTTTTCAGTAGCTTAATTACTTAAATATTGTGTCATTTTTAAAATACTGCTCAAAAAGTTGCTAGCCTTATAACAAACAGGCAAGGCCACACATGTTGAAATGGCAAGCCCCCTCCCCCCAATAAAAGCCCTTAAGTAATGGGTCAATTTTTTAAAAGACACATCAAAACAAAATGAGATAAAATATACTCAGGCATGGTTGGTTATACTACAACAGCCATTCTTCTCAAAAAAGAATTACCTGGGAGATGAGAGTGGGGCACAAAAGAACAAGAACCAATTCCTGACCCCATGTATCTTACGGAGGTATAACAATTTTGATAAATACAGATGCTGATGCTCTGCATACACCATAGCTAGATCTCTGCAGCCCATAGGACTACAGGATCTGTTGCTAAGAAATGAGAAAAATCTATTTCTCCTTGTTCACTACTGAATACTTTTTTTAAAAAAAAAGCCCACCCCTCCGAAGTTGTTAATCCCTGAATCAGAGGTTAGTTGACTCAGTTTTTGTTTTCTCCTTTCCAAGGAGATGGAGAAAAATGAGGGAAACTATAAGCACTTTGTTACAGTATCTTTTCTGTTTTGGCAACCTCTCAGGAGTGTTTGTCCAGTGGCAACATTGCACAACCAACTACAGGAGCTCGCCATCCCAGTGGGGTTTGCTTATCCTACAGAAGATCCCCCAGCCACTGGGCATTTGGTCTCAATCTGGCCCAGTAGTTGATACAGATCCCTGCGCAGTTTCCCCAGCCAGACCAGCTTCTTCCCGAAGAGGAGACTCCTCCTCAGCTTGCCCTCTGGATGTAACAGTGGTCTCAGGAGAGATGCTGTGTGACCCCTCCAGAGGCATGCAGCCAGGGTGATTCTTACGAAAGTGCTGGTTGAGGATAGCCTGGAAGGGGAAGCTCTTCCCACAGACATGGCAGTGAAAGGGCTTGTTTCCTGTATGTTTCCGGATATGATACTCCAGCTGATCCTTGCGGGTATACTTTTTGCCACACATCCGGCAAACAAAAGGTGTGATGCCCATGTGAAGCCGCATGTGCCTGTCCAGACTACCCTTCTGGTTAAACGATTTGGCACAGTAGATACAAGTGAGACGTGGGTTGTAACGAAACCATCGCTCAGATACTTCCTGTTCACGGAGATATTCCACATAGCCACTTACTCCAACAATAGCTGACTCCTCCACCTAGAGCAGAAACATTACGAAGAAAAAACAAAACATAGCTAGTTATGATGATGGACCTTAAAAAAAGTGCTTAGACATCTTTATGGCTGATCAGCAACATCCAGATTTAGAAGCGTTATTTCTCAGAGTATTAAAGACTAAGACAAAACAACACAGATTGTTATGTTCATGCCTTGTATGAAACTTCCTGGAATTATATGATGATCACTGTAAAAAACAAGATATAGAGCTAGATGGTTTGACTAGCATGAATGTTATTGTACCTTGGAAAGTTTTAAATTTTAATACTATACATGTCGTTTAAAAAATGCATATAAAGAATTTTTTAAAATTTTAACTGTGTTCTTTGTAGGCTTGTCTTTAAAGTCTCCCACTTAAGCAAACAAAGCAACCCCAGCAAATCTTTTTGAGCAAGGAGGGAAAAGTGTTTTATAGTCTATAAGAGCCTTGCATATTAACCAAATGTTCAGTTTGATTATAAGGCTCACAACAATGTGGGACTGCCATGTTTCACTGAACTGTCCTGCGTTTATCATCTAAATCCCTAAGATGAAATAAAAACATTTTCGGTATCCAGATGCAAAGGGTTTTCTTGTGACTGTGGGATGACTACGGTTAAATTCCTAAGATGTAATGCCTATGTTATACTTTTGCTTTAATATGTTTCTATATCCATCCTGAGCGGTCAGGGTTAGGGGATAAGATAAAACTCTGAAACATATAAAGGTTTTATTTTTTAAAGATGTAAACTTCCAGATACATTAGTAGAAGTCTGCTTGTAGTTCACTGATTAAAAGTGTTTAGGTACATATAAAAAATCAGTTTCTTCACATTCCTTCTCAAAACTCATTTGACCTATCTTCTGAAGTACTCATACCCTATTAAAATTAATAACAGAACATTTCTCTCTTCCATTCTGGATCAGCCCTTCCAACTCTCCCTCACTCCACACTCCCAACACACAATATCCATTTTTAAATTGTTCATTCTCCCAAACATATAGACACTTTCCCTCTTTTCTCCATTTCCCTTTCATTTGCTTATCCTGCCACCTTCTCCAATCCTTCTTGTTGCTCTCCACAAATTTCTACTTTTGGCCCAATGACTCTTCTTCCTACTTATACCCTATTCAATTGTGCCATTTCTTGCTTCACTATATTGAATTACCTCCATTCTTTGTTTTATTACATCTCTAACCCACCATAAAAGACAGTAGCAACAGCAGAAATGTGTGTGTTTGCAAGTGTTTGTGTATTATGCACACATTGCAGTAATCTATGGGTTGGCAGATAGTTGTATTTTGACTTCCCAGTCTAGGACTGAGAAAATGACTGGCCCAAAGTCACTCAGCTGAGCTTCCATACCTAAGAAAGGGCTAGAAACTGGGTCTTCTCACTCCTAATCCAGCTTCTTAATACTGGCTTACACACATACACACACACAAAACAACAACACAAACACACACCAACTGAAAAATGCCTCTCTGTAGCTACTCCTATGAATCATCATCATCATGATTATCATCGCAGGGCTCAGCAAGTGATACCTACCTGGGAACTGGGCTGCTTAGGTTCATCTATCCGCCATGGAGATTCACTTTTTGACCTGTACCGATCATTTACAGTAACCACACTACCTGAAGGGCTAAATCTGTAGATAGAAAATGAGATTAATAGCTATTTGTGCAATATAAAAGGCTTTGAAGAAAAAGATGAGAACAATGGAAATTCTGCTTCGTCAATAACTGATAACATGGAGAACGGGTTAGACAAAATATAAAACAAATGGAAATAAATTAACAAAACCCCAAAACTATAAAAGAATAGCAGAAGATTTATAAAGCAATTTAATTTCCCAAGCCAAGAAATAAATCAGTATAAGAAAAGATGATAACTTTGCCTCATGCAAATTTGTCAAAACAGAAACATGAGATTTATTTATTATTTGTATGCTGCCTGCATCTGAGGTACTAAGAAAAAACTAGTGTTTTTACAGACTGCTTTACCAATCCTGCTGATGCAAACTTCACCTTTTACAAGTAATAACTTATCTTATCTTCCAAAAACAGTTGCAGAAGTAGTTAAACAAAAAAACTTAGCAATAAACATAACAAAAGCATGTCTGATACACAAAACACAGATGCCACCTCCTGTTCAGGAGAAGGCAAGGGTACTTCTTCAATATTATTATTAGGGTTGAAGTAAGAACCTTCTATAAACAAAAAGGCTTAATTCAGACTGTACACTAAACTACTCTTAAGAATGCTTAACTACGGTGACTATAAAATTATGTTTTAATAAATCTAGCTTAGTTTTACAAATCAAGGCTTGCAGTAACTATTGGCTGATGTAATATGTGAACTGGCAAATCAGTTATAGCCATTGCTCCAGAGGCTGCTATCCTTAGGTATGGGAGTGCCGAGCAAAAAATAAAACAAACCTGCCCAAACAAAACAAAAACAGAAAATATTTTTGAAGAGCTCATATGAAAGAAAGGGTTCCAGTTTAGTCAGAAGAAGCTAGAGACTGGAGATTTTCCTGGCGATGATTCCCAAGCAAGTAATTCTCTGTCTTTAGGTAGGCAACAATCCTGCACATCTTTCAAAAGCATCATGCAATTTTTTTGGCTATAACTAAAGTTTGAGGTTTTTTTAAAGATAATAAATATTTTCATTTATTCAGATTTATTTTGGATATATTAAAACTAGTATTTAAGTCCCAAGCAGAGGGCAGATTATAAAATTATTAAAACGATAAAATGGAAACAAAAATTAGTTTTAGACCAAATCAGGTAGTCCCTGGGTTAAGAACGCCCAGTTTACGGATGACCCATAGTTAAGAATGGAACCTACGGTAGCAAAATCTGAGCTAAAAACACAATGATTCGAGTTAAATACACAATGGTTCGAGTTCATTTCAGAATACTACTTATATAGTTTTATATAATATTGTTCTGGCTCATAGACAAATTCGACTTAAGGACAGACCTTGGGAACGGAACTCGTTCTTAAACTGGGGACTACCTGTACAGCACGGCAATAAATAATTGTTGGTGCTAGAAAGCCAGAGAAGAAGCCAGTGTGATGTGGTAGTTAAGATGTCAGACTAGGAGCTAGAAGACCCAAGTTCAAGTCCAGGCTCAGCCACAGAAGTTTGCTGGATGATTTTAGACCAGTCACCTAACCTACAGGGTTGCTGTTGTGAGAAAAATAGGAGGCAGCAATGCTATGTATGCTATCTTGAATTATTGAATGGAAGGTAGGATAGAAATCAATAAATTAAATAAATAACAATAAAGCTAGAGATATACTAACCTGCGTTTATAAGATGTCATTCTTGTATTATAGAAAAAATTCCTGAGAACAGTTACTTGATTTCTCACTGAACATTAGGACTTCCTTCATTTTTTCAAAACTGCTAATATTCACTGTTCCTGGAGAAGACCAACTTATATCTCATTTATTCAATAACAATATCTAGAGAATCCACTGAATAAAGTTCAGCCAGAGGCAAATTAAGTCTACTTAAAAAGCCCTGTAAATTTTCTTTTTAGAAGATGAACTCTCACTACCATACTCTAATGGGCTCTTCGTCCAGCTCACAACTTTTTCACTTTCTAAAGTTAATCTGCAGACTGCACCCTGTCAGCCTTTTTTACATGGTCTGTTCCACTCTGTTTTTAGATCATGAGTTTTACACTGCAGGAATCATGCTTGAGGTATTTTAACATTCTCTACAATGTCTTTGACACTCTGTGAGTGCATTAGTATTAAAAAGCAACAATAAAGTTCAGTCTTACCTGTCTGTTTCAGTGCTGGTTGGCCTGGCCACTTTTGTTCCTGATGAGCCCAAACTGTAATTTTCCTGTCCCACTGATCCATGGCCTGTTGTATCAATCACCATGGCAGTGACCTCCTCAGCACTGCTCCCATCTTCTCCAGATGGCTGATTCTCTGTCCCTAGCCACTCCTCCAAGTTTTCTGTTTTGATTCGTACTGCTCCAAGGACTTTAACATCATCATCACCCTGCCCACCATGGTCTGCCACTCCTGTCTCCACATACCATTGACCTGCCCTATTAATCCTCAGTATGGGTTCCCGGCTCTCTACATCTGAACTCTGTTCAATTATCTGAGGACTTGTAGACTCCTCAGGAGGACTAAGTTCCCGAATGTCCAGAACTGTGCTAACCTGGCCCATACGGCTTCCTTTTGGAGTGCTATGATGAGGACTCAGAGACCGATTTAGAGATGGGGAAGTCCGATGAGATTCGGGAGGCCTTTCTTGATGCTTTGTTCTTGTTTGGCTCAATTCCATTTCAACTTCAGCCACATTAATTTTGAAATGAATTCCTTCCAGGATTTGTGTACATTTGTCTATAATATGTTGCATTTGTAGGAAACTGGCTGCTGTCAAGTAACTTATTATATCGGCGAGCTGGAGGCATATTCTCCCAGTGTAGCAAAAAGAAAGGAGCTGCTCAAACACGGTGGGGTTCTTGATAACAGAGATGGAGACTGTGCTCATTTCATTGAGTGACATATGATCTCGAAAATAAGGTGAGCTAGCAGCCAGCACTACCTTGTGGGCCCTAAAGGCTTGGCCTTGCACATTGACCACAATGTCACACAGCCGGCCCTGCATACGAAGCTGGTTAAGATGGCTCAAAACAGAATTGCTGAAATCAGGAATCTCCAACTGAATGTTCCCACTTTTCTCCATGACGGCTCCAGTTGCAGGTGGAGCAACCCTAACGATGGAAAAATACATTACTGAATTAGAAAGAGCTTCTCCATTTCTTCTACTGCATGACATTTTTTAAAAAAATAAATTTTCACATGATCAGTTTGCATGTGATTTCTGTGAATATAACACACAAAAGATTAAAATGCTACTTCCTTATTAAAACAACTATGTAGAAAAAATACAGAATGTTTCCAACTGAGTAGTAAATTATCTTTCTTTTTTAAATATTCCCCTTAACAACATTGCCATTGCTCAACATTTCAAGTGTAATTATGTTAGCTAACTAACAAAGATTATGTTATTTATTTCATGAATTATGCTGGGACTTTCATCTATTCTTCCAGTAATTGGTGGGCAGATATGAATAAATGTTTTACAGCCTTCTGAAGGGTAGTGAAATAAAGCTACCTTTGGCCTAACTTACAATGTGCTTAATGAAAATGGTACAATGTATGTATTCTTTTTATATG